TTATTTAGCTAAATCAATTTTTTAAAAAAACTTTCTAAATTTATTTAAAATGTTCCTACCTTTATTTCAAGGAGCTCTGGTAGCATAGTGGTTACGAATCGGGCTGCAAACCTTAAGGTCATGAGTTCGAAACTATCAGCCGCTTCATGGGAGAAAGATGAGGCTTTATGCTCCACAAAGATTCACAGCCTCGGAAACCCTGTACAGGGTCGCTATGGGTCGGAACTGACTCCACGACACTTAACAACATCAACAACATCTTTATCTCTAGCAATCTATAGACAATGTCTTTTTTTTTTTCTGGTCATCAACAAATGCAATGAAAAGGCTGAAAAACTATTGAGATAGCTTTAAAAAAATGACAAGTTGTGAATGACCCTAAATTCATCCATGGATGTGAAAAAGGAGTTATACATAGCATCACCTATCTGTGAACGCATTGGGAGAGCAGTACACAGCGCTGGAAACGTGCTTGGTTACACTGGGGCCAAAGAACACTATGCTCTCTCCTGCCCTCAAGCCTGGTGTAACTAGTGCCTGGCTCTTGTAAAACAAAGAAAACATCTCATCCACCATTCAAAATATGCCATCCACACACCTGAAAATCTCACCTGGTTTCTCAATGTAATAGTAATTCTTCATTATCTTTTCATTGTAAGTCACCTATCCAAATACTACCCAATACTGCCCTTTCAGCAGTACATGCGAGTCAGCTGCTTTTTCTCTGCTGTTAGTTAACGCTTTGGTTCATTTTTCCCGTTGCATTCTGCATGGTTCGTGCTCCTACCTCATCCCACCCCACTGTTGCTGTTAACTAGCAGCGAGTTGGTTCCGACCCATAGCGACCCTGTACAGAATTTCCGAAGAGTGACTGGTGGGTATGAACCACCAACCTTGCAGTTCACACTGAACTAGCAGTCTAGCGCATTAGCCTGCAGCGCCCCACCAGGACTCCTCCCACCTCATTACCCCTCAAAAACAAACTCGCCAAATAGTTTTAGTGATTTAAAGTCTTCGTCTTAATAAGTACCCCCAAATCTGACTAATAAGAAGAAATTAACAGAGCAACTGCACATCAAAATCAAAATCTTAAAGTAGGATGCCAGTCAAAAGCTTGCTGGCAACTTAAATGGATATGTAGGTCTGAGAGTAACAACACAACCTAACAGACGTGGTAGTTGCAGTTAAAAAAATGTGAAAACATGTGATAAACGTTTGTAACAGTCTTATCCAAGACAGTCGTCCAGGTGCCTTCAGTGACATGACTCTGGCTCCTGTTGTGGCGCTGTAGGGTCAAACCCACCGGCTGCTCCTCAGAAATCTTGTATGGGGGGTGGGGGAGGCTACGAGTCAGAACCGACTTGACGGTACTTCACAACAACCCAACAATTCAGTGATTACATAAAGACCAGGATGCAAACCAATGCCTTTTTCTTGCACATACACATTTTTTCATACAATAGCTGACGCTCTTCTAGAAAACAAGGATCTAAGAAGAGACCAAAAATCTGAAGATGAGCCAAATTTAACATGATATCATCGAATGCGGAAAACCAGAAAGAGCTGAGTTCAGTGCCAAACAGCAGTGTTTGGTGAGTAACATGGGACAGGTCAGTTCCTGCTGCCACGAGGCAGGTGCAGGCAACTTGGGTGTAGTCGACAAAAAGCTCAGGTGAGCCAACAGTGAGACAGCGGCACAGGTACAATCGTGGGGACTGCAGAAAAGCATGGCCTTACACTGAGTCCTAAACCTAGGCTCCTGGTGTGGGGCTGTAGGGTCAGCTCTGACTGCCAAGCCCAAGCTCAGCAGTTCAAACCCACCAACTGCCCCTTGGAAATCATATATTGTTGCTGTTGTTAGGTGTCATTGAGTCAATACTGACCCATGTGACCTTATGCACAACAGAACAAAACACTGAGCCAACCTCACAATTGTTGCCATGCTTGAGCCCACTGATGCTGCCACTTTGCCAATCCATCTTGCTGGGGGTCTTCCTTTTTCTCTGACCCTCCACCTTACCAAACATGATATCCCTCTCCAGGTTGTGTATAAGCAGTCTCAAAAGTAACCTTCCTTATTTTTGTCGCTTTTGTAAGTATGTCTAGCACACAACGTTTGCCAGTTCAATTTTATAGATTTACAACTTCAGAGCAATTACAACATATAGCTGTGTACCCTACTTTGAATCAATGCACCATTTCCATCACCATTAAGCCCTCCTGCCCCTGGTGACCACTGATAAACTTTGCTCTCTGTACAACTGCCTTTTCTTGATTCTTGACATAAGGGAGGTTATAAATTATTTGTCCTTTTGAAATTGACTCATTTCACTATCTCCATTCATACTGTAGCTATTACAGCAAGACTACTTTTTCCTATTGGCTGAACTGTATTCCACACAATATGTATGTGTACAATAGCAGTATGTACCATACTTGTTTATCTATTCATACTAAAAGTATCAGGGACTGCCAGAAAAACAAACTACGTTGGAATAAGTACAGCCAGAATGCTCCTTAGAAGTCGGGTGGGCAGGACTTCGTCTCTCATACTTTCGACATATTATCAGGAGGAACCAGTCCCTGAAGAAGGACATCATGCTTGTCATGGTAAAGTGGAGGGCCAGTGAAAAGAGGAAGACCACCAACGAGATGGACAGACACAGTGGCAGTGGGCTCAAGTGTAACAACAACTGTGACGATGGCATGGGACCAGGCAGTGTTTCGTTCTGTTGTGCATGTGCACAGGGTCGCTATGACATGGAACCGACTCAACGGCACCTAACAACAGTCACTGGAAGATGGTCATTTAGGTTGTTGTCACCTTTTAGCTACTGTGAGTAATGCTACAACACACACTGTAGTCTAAGTCTCTGTTTCAGTCTCCGCTTGCGAGTCTTTTGGGTAAATAACTAGGCGTGAACTAGAGGTCTCATGGTAGTTCTAGCTTGGTTAGTTTTGTTTTTTGGGGAACTGCTACACTGTTTTCCCCCACTGCTGCACCATCCTGCATCCCCACCAGCGATGGGAAAGCATTCCAATTTACCCACATCCTAGAGTAAGTGACAGGTGGTCTCATATAGTTTTGATTTGCATCTCTGATGACCAGGGACACTGAGTGCCCATGCACTGGTGGCCACATGAATGTACTTTTTAGTCAAGTGTCTACTCTAGTCCTTTGCCTATTTTATGACTGGGTGGTCTTTTTGTTGTTCAAGTTGTCAGTTTTATATATATACAGACAGTCCCTGGGTCACAAACATCCAACTCACAGGTGTAAACAGGGTTTGTAATTACAGGCAATACGTTTGGACACACATCAAATTATTATTATTATTATTATTACTGTCTTACTACGTTAACGATGTCTTACTGTGTCTGGACATGTTTATTTAAGGTTTCTCATGCACATAACGATACTAAGACAGACATCTGACTAATGTTAGATAAGAACCACTCCAAACTGCTCCAATGCGCAAATTTAACTTAAAAACAGACTTCGGAACAGAACTCGCTTATAGTAGACGGATTGCCTTCATTTTGAATATTAGATTTTGTCACATATATGAATTCCAAAGACCAAAGATATTCTATTCTCCCAGTTGGTAACTTGTCTTTCCACTTTTCTGGTAAAGTTCCAAACTAAATTTTCAATCTGTTTCTAAAACCTGAATTTCTTCCTGACTTCTCTATCTCAGAGAACTTGGTATCATTATCCACACTGTGATCCAAGTAATAATAAAACCTAGAATATTTTTTTGAATTCATGTTGATTACTTTAAGCAATAGTTTTCCTAACATATTTGTATAACCAATTTAGGAATCCATCCTTACAAATATAATTTTGGCAATTCAAGTCAAGTCATATATTTTGTTTTTAATGACACATACACATAACCTGCAGGCCAGAGAGTGTTATTTTCCTTAAGATAACTAGTTATTTTAGTTATTTCAATAGCTGAATTTATATTGTGAGAAAGTCTTGGTGTGGCACTGCAGGATCGTGCTCTGGACCAATCACAAAGTTGGCTTGAGCCACAAGGTCGACAGTTCAAATCCATCAGTTGCTCCTCGGAAACCCTATAAAGGATCGCTGTTGCACTGGAGCCGACTCCATGGCACTTAACAACAACAACAAAGTATATTGTGAATTCTCCCTGATACATGTATATGATGACAATATGTACACATGTTTTATGTATGTGTGTGTATATATACATAT